CGTGTGTTGCTCTTATGTACAAGAGATGGCGCTGTTTTTTTTTAAACATGGTTTTTACCTGTCACAAGTGTGGCATCTATACTTATATTCACGAAATGAACGGTATGGTAAACAACACAGCTCATTTCCAACGAAATTTCACACAAAATAATTAAATGAAAATGAAAATAATTCAAAATCTATGAAAATTCAATTTATCATTGTAATTGGAAACATTTAAATGGAATCATATCATATTTTGTACAGCGAGTGTTGCTCTAACGTGCAACAGATGGCGATGTTTTTCAAAAAAAGCTAATTTTTACCTGTAACTGGTGGCATCTATATAGTAGGTATATAGAAATACGCGCCTATTCGAATGCTACATTGAGTCAAAATTTCAAAGCAATGGGTAACGAGGTTTCGAAGATTTCCCTCACAGAAAAAAACACATGAAAAGCACAGTTTTTCAAAAAGATCTTGTTTTTCCCGTCACAGACGTGACATCTGTATAGTATGTGTATAAAAACACGCTCGGATGCGAATGAAACGTTTTGTGAAAATTTCTGAGCAATCGGTGAAAAACTTTCGGAGATTAGCGATTTTGAACAAACGAACATTTACATTTAGATTTATATAGATATATATGTATATAATGGTGCATATGGGAGCAGGTTTTAATTTATTCGTGTTTCTCTGAATATGACTGCATATTCTGTATTGATAATTTTCTTGTTTAGGGCTTCTATTCCTCTGACTAGTGCTCTTGCATCTTCGTTTAATTGGAAGAGGATTTCTCCATATATCATCCTTGTACGAGGTGAAGAAAAACAAATAATTAACTGTAGAATATATTACACTTATTATAAATTTACTCAACGTTTCGAACTTACGTGGTTCATTCTCAAGTGATGGGACAGTGATTGATTGATTGACTGATAAAGATTAAGCCACACAAAAGGTGGCACGGGCATGAATAGCCCATACGTAGAGGCTTTTGGGAGCCTCTAACTGATACTGTAGATCTGTAAATGGATGATGTCATTTTTTTGCAGGGGGAGGTTGGAGCGGTAACTAAGGGCAAGCTATACCAATTATAGAGCTGGTCAGTTAGTGAAGGCCACTTAGTCGACCGTTTCTTCTTAGTCAGAGTCTTGTTGGTGGTTTTAGTCTCAAACCCTGAGGTTGGCTCCGGAGTCGATGAGTTGTGGTAGAAGCCGGTTCGGTCACGTTGGTGGTGGTGTTGGTGGTCGGAGAGAGCATGTCTGCGAGCGCCTAGGCTGAGACGGTGATGGTGGTAACTTTGGGGGTTGAATTGGAGGTTGCTGCTGTTTGTACAGCCTGGGTCTGTAGTGGAGCTGAAGTCTGGGTTCAGATTGACCTTGTGGAAGTCCCCTGTGTGGTAGAGGAGGTAGTGAGACTTGTGTCAGGGACTGTGATGGGTGCAGGCCATTGGCTAGGAAAAACACATTCAGTTCCCTGAAGAATCGGTGGTTGTCTGATCCGGCAAGCCTCTCCGTTTATCGTATTAGACCAGGGATAATGCCAGCAAGTGATGCAAGGGGCAGCGAGGGTGCTGGTTGGATGGGGCAGTGCTAGGCGTATTGGAATTATACCATTAAGGAGGTCAGGTGCCTAAAATAAAAAGGTGAGGAGTACATCGAAAAGGAAAAATAGGGCATAAATGGGGTAAGGATAGGGGACGTAAATAGGGATGAATCATATACAAAGGTGGGCGTGGGCGTGGCATCTTGAGCAGAGTCTTCTATGTGGGCATCTTTACATTCCGGTCTTGTTCTTACTTGCAAGGTGGGTAGAGTAAATAGTTCAGTAATTTGGGTATTTATGGTAGGTTGTTCTTTTCTTGTGTGGATTGCTTCAAGAATTTGTAATCTTCTTACATCTTGGGTTTTGTCTATTATACAAGTGATTATATTCAATATCTCTCTTGTTAGGGAGATGCCATGGGCTTGTCTCATATGATTTTTATAGTCAGCTGTGAACGGAGGGTGAACGTCAGTATATGGGAGGAGGGTGGACGTCAGTATATGGGAGGAGGGTGGACGTCAGTATATGAGAGGAGGGTGGACGTCAGTATATGAGAGGAGGGTGGACGTCAGTATATGAGAGGAGGGTGGACGTCAGTATATGGGAGGAGGGTGGACGTCAGTATATGGGAGGAGGGTGGACGTCAGTATATGGGAGGAGGGTGGACGTCAGTATATGGGAGGAGGGTGGACGTCAGTATATGGGAGGAGGGTGGACGGCAGTATATGGGAGGAGGGTGGACGTCAGTATATGAGAGGAGGGTGGACGGCAGTATATGGGAGGAGGGTGGACGTCAGTATATGGGTGGAGGGTGGACGTCAGTATATGAGAGGGGGTGGACGCCAGTATATGGGGGGAGGGTGGACGTCAGTATATGGGAGGAGGGTGGACGTCAGTATATGAAAGGGGGTGGACGTCAGTATATGTGAGGAGAGTGGACGTCAGTATATGGGTGGAGGGCGGACGTCAGTATATGAGAGGAGGTGGACGTCAGTATATATGGGAGGAGGGTGGACGTCAGTATATGGGAGGAGGGTGGACGTCAGTATATGGGTGGAGGTTGGACGTCAGTATATATGGAAGGATGGACGTCAGTATATGGAGAGAGGGTGGACGTCAGTATATGGGTGGATGGACGTCAGTATATGGAGAGAGGGTGGACGTCAGTATATGGGTGGAGGGTGGACGTCAGTATATGGGTGGAGGGTGGACGTCAGTATATGGAAGGGGGTTGGATGTCAGTATATGGGCGGAGGGTGGACGTCAGTATATGGAAGGAGGTTGGACGTCAGTATATATGGGAGGAGGGTGGACGTCAGTATATGGGAGGAGGGTGGACGTCAGTATATGGGAGGAGGGTGGACGTCAGTATATGGGAGGAGGGTGGACGTCAGTATATGGGAGGAGGGTGGACGTCAGTATATGGGAGGAGGGTGGACGTCAGTATATGGGAGGAGGGTGGACGTCAGTATATGGGAGGAGGGTGGACGTCAGTATATGGGAGGAGGGTGGACGTCAGTATAAGGGAGGAGGGTGGACGTCAGTATATGGGAGGAGGGTGGACGTCAGTATATTGAAAGAAGGTGGACGTCAGTATATGGGGGAGGGTGGACGTCAGTATATGGGAGGAAGGTGGACGTCAGTATATTGGACGTCAGTATATTGGAGGGAGGTTAGACGTCAGTACGGTGACGTCGATTTGAATAGTTATCATGATCCTTATTCTAGTTTATTTCATCTCAATTTTCCATCATTTCTCCTCATGTACAAGCCCTCTCGACTATATTTTTTATGCATCATTTGCTTTTAATTTTACGCTCTATTATTTTCATAAGTACACGATTTAATTGGCTTTATTCCTTAACTTTTCTCTTCTATCCCCTGAATTTTTACCTTACCAAATTTTTTCTCCTCCGTTTTGTGTTTACCACTTTCACGTTCGTTCGTTTCATATTCTTTCATCTTTTTTACTCTTATAATGAGCGCTCTGCTCTTTAAGTGAACCTGCTATAATTATACCAAACACGGAACGCTTAAAATGAACATGACCCAGGCAAGGAAGACTTTCCTCGGCACAAAAGACCTCGTCCTGTAAATGAAGTGACAATTGCGTACAATGGGTGACTTTTGTACACAACGAGAGCTTCTCTTAGGTTCAAAGGAACCTGAATATATTATGGATAAATGTACTTGACGCACAGGAAGCTGCATCCTCCCTGCCTCGTCTGGAAAAGGTGATGCTCTTGCATCTCGCTAGTTCTTAAAGAACGAGCCGTGGGGCGCAGTCAAGGGCTGGGCTTACTTTAAGTCTTTCTTTCGCTCATTATAATTAAAATAGGACATCAAAGGAACTTTTGGAAGAAAATAAGTTGGCTTTGTTTATTTTATGTAAATTATAGTGTCACCTTACCAGGTTGTGTAATGTAATTTGTTTTCTGGCCAGAAACGGTGATTTGGAGCCTTTTTGCAGTAAACATCATAAAGTTTACTGCATGATGGGAAGATATGTTGAGTAATGTTGGCAAGGCTATGTCTCTTCCTGCCTGCTTTGTTTCACATGTTGGTCCACCAATTTCTCTGTGTCGCTGTTACTCTGTCTGTCTGTCTGTCTGTCTGTCTGTCTCTCTCTCTCTCTCTCTCTCTCTCTCTCTCTCTCTCTCTCTCTCTCTCTCTCTCTCTCTCTCTCTCTCTCTCTCTCTCTCTCTCTCTCTCTCTCTCTCCCTCTCCCTTGTCCGTTTTACTACTGTTATTTTGAAGGGAACTGAAAAACGAGCATACTGTATTTGAGAAAATTTAGGAGAATAATATAAGGTGACTGTGATGAAGACAGATATGTGGTATCCTAGCTCACTCTAACCATGACTGTGTATCTCCAACACTTTATCATCTGCTCAGAATATTGTATCTGCCACGCTACTCAGAACGCCCTAGTCCATGTAAACAGACATTGTATTTTCCACTCAGAAGATTCATTTCCCTACTCACCATCCATTTTTTTCGTCGCTCTCAATACACGGAACATCCTACTAAAACCACTATCTCACTTTCAAGACTGTGTCGAATTCAAAACTCTTTCTCTGCTACTTGTAAAAAGTATTTTATTCTCTCAATAACTGTTTCTCCCAAGAAGGATCTTAAACTTTAAAGATGGAACCTATTACAGTTAAGAACTGTGCTATCCTCTTACGATGGCGTTCATTACTCATATGAAGAAGATGTCATCTCCTCTTAAAAATATATATATACCTCTTTCTGGAAAGAATGTATAATGCCTTCCAGGACACCCTCTTCTTGCACAACTTTCATCTCGAACTAAAACGCACTTCATCTGTCACTCCAAATACTACATTTCTTGCATAAAATTCTGAACGCTAGCTACTAAAATCTCTTTACTTCTCGTATAAGGTAGTGTAACTCTTCTTCAAAATATATTCCCGTCTAAAATCCTGTCACCGCACACTGTTCTACCGCAGGAGGGCGATGAAGGCAACGCGGACGTCGGGATCCTGGCGTCGGGGTTCCAGAAGGTGGTGTTCCGGGGCCAGAAGTGGGCCATCCGGCACCTGTCACTGGCAGGCCTGCTGCCCAGCACCCACCACTACATGACCTACGACGGCTCCACCACCCATCCCGGCTGCTGGGAGACCACCACCTGGCTCATCATGAACAAGCCCATATATATCACTAGGCAGCAGGTGGGTCTTGTGTCTAATATTTCTGTCTTGTGTCTAATATTTCTGTAGTCAATATATGGGTGGATCTTGTTTCACACATCTTTGTAACCAATATATCAGTGGGTCTGGTGTCTCATATATCTGTAGTAATATATGGGTGGGTCTTGTGTTTTATATTTCTATAGTCAATATATGGATGGGTCTTGTTTGTGCCCTCTCCTTTAACACTGTAATGTGCTAGACCTGTTTCTAAACTCTCGTTGTATACTATATATTGGTTGGTCTTATTTTTGTCCTCTTCTTGTGATCAATAAGTGTAGTAAGAGCTCGTAAGCTCATGGCATAACCACACCTGCAATAAATGGGATTAGTGGCACAAAGATATTGAATCCAATATCTATTATTTCACCACCAACCTCCCTTATTTTATTAAGATGCAGGTACGGATCTCAGTCTTCCTTTGTTAGGACTTATCCCTCTTGTTGGGCCAGTGCATGTAGTGTTGTTCATCACTGATGGTGTTGTAATGGACTTTGTCGGCTCTTGGCTTCATGCATCAGGTGTGGTTCACACTCCACTCACAACTTCTTTATCTTTCACGTACCTATCATTTTTAAACAGCGCGTGTGAACTCTTAAATCAGTTTTATTTGTAGTTTCACCATTATACAAAGTTCCACGTATAAAATGGCTGCAATTAAGCAGGTTCTACTTTGTTGAGTGCTGTTATAAGGTGCAGGAACAATGTTTACTGTGTTTGAGGGAGTATCGTGTCGCTGCTGTGGCGTCGGTGTGACGGTGTGCTTGTACATCCGAGTTGTGTTGTTGTTGTGAATTAAGGAGCGACGACGAACGTTGGATCGGATGCACTTCATCTGTCACTCTAAATACTACATTTCTTCCATAAAATTCTGAACGCTAGCTACTAAAATCTCTTTACTTCTCGTATAAGATAGTGTAACTCTTATATCATAATGAGGGATCATAATGAGTTAATCGCAAATCCTAATAGTGAAACGTATGATGCATATCACCAGGCACTAAGATGCCTCGCGTCAAAGAAACGCAAAGAGAGGCAAATGATTGGGGAGCCCCCCCAGGAGTCCCTCAGGGTGACAAGCACCGGCCCCGCCCCACACAGAGAACACTAGGTAGCAAAGCCCAAAACTCGGCCCCCAACTAAAATGCAAAAGTCATGTGGCGCCCTCATGACGCCTGCCAGCCGCCCACCACAGCTGAGGGGACACCAGGAGCCCACCATCTCCCGGCACCTACCAGCCATGCCGGCGCCGGACACCGTCAACCCGCCGGGAAAACCAGCCAGAAAACGTTCAAAATCTATTAACTATCCTGTAACCCAAGGCGATATATGCATCAGGCATCGTACAAACCAGATCGTTGAATTGGGATGCGAAACGATAGTATCAAATCCAAAATCGCGAAAACAGAATGCGATCCAGCGGCTCCCAGGCAGAGGATACGTCCGCTGTATCATTGGGTTATTTTTACCATTGGGTCACAGTACCATGGGGTCACTATATTATTAGGTCACTATATTGTGGGGTCACTATATCATTGGCATACTGTACCACAGGGTCACTGTACCATGGGGTCACTGTTTCACGGGGTAACTGTACCATGGGATCACAGTACCACAGGATCACAATACCACGGGGTCACTGTACCACGGGGGTCACTGTACCACGTGGTCACAGTACCAAGGGGTCACTGTAACAAGGGGTCACTGTACCACGGGGTCACTGTACCACGTGGTCACAGTACCAAGGGGTCACTGTAACAAGGGGTCACTGTACCACGGGGTCACAGTACCCCGGGGTCACAGTACCACTACAACACACTGGGTAACTTTAAGAACGAGGCACGTTAAGAGATAACCAATATTAATGTCACTATATGCAATTAACTCTTGTTAAAAGTCACCATAAAATGTTTTATATAAATAAGGAAGAAACGGATTTTTTAAATTGTTATGATATAAGAGAATTAATAGAAATATAATGAACAAATTTAATTTGTTAATTTTTATACGTAATAGTAATTTTTATGTTGAGATTATATATACAACCTTTTAAATAGCACACCATGCACGATAATCACATTTCACCATAATGGATAATTATAAAGACTTTATTGTTCAATAAGAGTAAGGGTTCATTAGGGGAACACACTGATGTTCCTCGTGCAACAGCAAGATAAGAACTGTTAACCTAATTCAGCTCATCTGAAGCCTTGCCCTAGAAAGTCATTCATGCAATGAGCTGATTATTTCAGTTAGGAATGAACTTTAAGTGCTAAGTTACAAATCATGTTAGTAGCAGGACAAAGATGGAGCCAACTGTGTGTCAGAGGCTTCTTATTGTCAGTTGGTTGGAGTTCAAGCCTATTTATGTTATTGAGTGAATATTGTTTGTGTTGAGTTCACTCAATATAATATTCTGAGTGAACATGTGCGAGTCAGACTATGGACGATGTACCGGTCGTGGAGTGATGTTCTTGTGAGCGACACAACCAGCATGACGCTGTGCGCCTTGTGTTGTGGTTTCCAGATACTGGTTGTCCTCGAAGTTGAGCCAGGTGGATAATCTTGCCAACATTGTTCTTATAGATACATGTAAGACAGCCGACGTATCTCTGGTGTTGAGTTCTAAGGCTCTGGAATACTACCCAGTCTAACTAAAACGTCTCAAGACTGGAGGTGAGTCGTCTTGCACAGTTCTCTATTGTGTCTACAGTTCGGATAAACGCTGGGGGGGGGGGGGAGGGAGGGGGAATAGATTATCCATGAGAGGAAAATAAAATTGCTGATTGGAAGTATTAATTAGCCTGGTAGCCGTCAATATTTTTATTTTACATGTGTAATGGTTAGAGTGCAGTCAACACCATAAGACAGAGCTTTTGGAATGATGAATTGTATATCATGGAAGGAGACATTCCCCAAGAGCCAAAACACACCACTATGGTGCACAGGCACCAGTTAAAGGGCTCTCAGACTGTGATCCATTATGAACTTCCAATGGAGTTCATTCCTGAAGAATAACGAAATTAGGTATAAGATACTCGGGATACCCAGAGAATGAAGGTGTCCAAGGTGCGGTTCTCGGCCAAACGCACCTGCAGTGTCTCGTGCAATAAAACAGTCGCTGTAAGTGGTTCATATCTAGTGACTAACGCAACTTAGTGGAAATGGCTGAACGAAATATCAGCAGTAGAAAGATCTTTCCGGAAACCATATTATCGATCAAATAGTAAGCGATGAGGGTAAAAAAAATGCTCTGATTTGTTGTGAGATTATTATCTCAAGATTTTCTAAAGTAATTGACGCTATAGTTGCCGACCACTGAATGGTCTCTTCCTTTTAGGAGCTGGCCTTTAACTGTCTTTATCCATGTTGTAAATGCTGGGCAATGACGGTAGAGACGACGCCAGCAGTTGTGTACTGCTGGGGGTCAGTTTGGCAGTACACAATATGGCACCTGAGCAGTTTGGCAACATGACGGCCTTACGTTTCTTCACTACACTTGTAAGCTACGTCATCGAATCAGTTTAAGCTAATGCAAATCTCAGGTACCTACCACAGTATTAGGAACTATGAGAAAATCCACTGGAGCTCTCAGGTACTTAAATCCACGACCAACGGACTACCAGCATCAACCTCTACCTCTCTACCACCCTGACCAGCCCCTTGGTGGCCGGGTCGAGTCACCTAAGGGTTCCAGGTGATTTTAGCATTGCTATATATATTGTTATTGTGATTTTTTGTGTAATTAGGTACAATATCTGTGTACACTGTTCAAGTGGGACTCCTCTGTGGATTGTGGTTCTCTTGTGCAGCTCACAGAGTAGCGATGTCATTGGTCGTGAGAATCTAACAGTGCTAATGAAGCAATTAATTCACTCAGGGTCCTCATCAAGTTGATAAAAAGTGGTTAATGGCTGTTAGTTATTAGTGTTGAAAGGCCTAGGAGCTATTATAGTGTTGATGAAATTTATCATAATAACCTATGGAATGGGTTCCAAAACTCACATCATAAAAATTAACATAGTTCGATGAATAAACTTACTCACTAATACATGGATGCTTGAATTTACTCGTGACTGGTGTCAATCAAATCATAATGGCGCTAGAGATACATAGCTCATCTAGCTAAATGATAACGGTTCCCACAGGAACAACTTCACCTAACAATCAGGGACAACCCATCATTAACTCGCCTCTTCAATCACTTGCGGTAATGAACCAGGACACTGGAGTTTACCGACGATTGGGCAATGGTAATACATGCGCTATAAATCTCAATACCTCGCCAATCGGACAAGTAATTGGCATGCACAATTATTACTCAATAATCAGTAGTTAGCTATATGTGAACGTACGCTTAAATTAAAAAATGTCACCACGAACTTCCATTAAAGCTTTGTTGACGTACTACGTTAACAAGTACGTGTTAACTGTCTTTACCTGTCTTTGATCTGTCTAAGTATTTGGGTTGGGGAAAAAGATTCATGGTCAGCTGCTCGCAGAGAGATACTCTTGCAGTAAAGCCTAATCTGTACTTACGGTGCCCGGGTCCTCGTTCAGGCACATTCACCTACTCAGGTACTCAATCGTAGTGGTCTCCTTGGTACAGCCGCATGCGGCAGTTTTGTCAAGACGATACTTAGGTGAATAAAACACTCTCGATGATATGTGGTAGATAGATAATGAAAAGTTTTTTTATTTATAAAATAAACACAGAGCATACTAAGGACAATAAAGAACAGACAAAGAACATGAAACAGAAAAGGATAAAAACCAAATAAAACATAATCTTGAACCATGTACAGGATACAGAATATAAAGACAAAAGGGAAGAGAACAAAGAGTACAGAAAAGAACACAGAAAATAAGCTCGCAAACAATCCATTCCCAGGCAAATGAGAAGTACATTACACACCTAAACACACAAACACACACATACAGGGAAAGGCAAAGCAGACCCACATACAGAGAAAGCCAGAAGGGCCCTACAGAACCCAACTCACACAATCACATAACCGGAACATGCTGGAACCGGGGAACACAAACCCGCATCACACACACGCACGCAACCACCGACACACACGCAACCACCCACACACACGCAACCACCCACACACACCCAACCACCCACCCCACACACACATATATAAGAACATAAAAACAAATGTAAGAAAAAGACAAGTAAAAAAAAAGGACAAATCATTAACAGAACAGAAGCATAAACTACATAAGCTACAGGCTCGCGCAAACAACACAGGAAGCACAACATATAAACACACAAAGGAAACAAAACAGTACAGTATATATAAACCACAAACAAAATATAATGCCCAAATTGGGTGAACCAAAACAAGGATACAAAACATACATATAGCAGACAAAGCAACAAAAACAAAAATACAGGGAGAACACAGTCAAGCACAAGGACTACACATATTTATCCGTGAACTCTTGCGCCGGATAGGGCAAGGGATAAGCCTCCCAAATCAACACTTCATCATCAGTCACCTGACGACCAGGACACACACGAGGCTAAGGCATGAAATCTGGCACCTCATAGATAAACCCCTGTTCTCGCGGCACCCAAATGGTAGAAGAGCACCATTGGATGGTGCCCGTACATCCAAAGTGAGTTCCATAGACTGAGTTTGGAACTCACTACTTAGCACTTCCCCAGAGGCCGAGATCACAGAGAGGGGTCTCGCACTAGGGGGCCCCGTACTGGGAGCCATACTAGGATGCGCACTGGGCATCACACTAGGACACGCACTAGGCTCCTCACCAAGTGTCGCACATGGCGTCGCACTAGGGGGACCCGCAGACGTGCCAGGACGCCCACCACCAAGCACAGGAGCAGAAACCCCCCTCCCCCGGCGCACATCTTTCTTCAACACCTCGACGAGGTCCCGATCACCCAGGGTAACCCCCACGGAGGGGAGCCACGAGCAGGAGGCGCAGGGGCCGAAACAGGAGGCAGCACAGAGCCCCCCACAGCATCATCAACCACCTCGTCACACTCGTCAGCCCACTCATGATGGGGTGACACACTCCTATCCGTCCGAGAATGCTTCGAAACAGGTCGCTGATCGTCGGAACTGTCGCCACCTGCAGGAGGCACCCGAGAAGAGCCCTCGGCCGGCAGTCCCATGGCGGGCTAGATGCAACCTCGTTTGCCAGCAGCCTCGCCGACACTGGGCACTATCCCACACCCCTCAGGGGATATCCGAACTAGAGACAGGGTACGCAGAGCCAGCGCAGGTGAAAGGGCCAGCACAATTGAGAGAGCCGCAGGGCCGCAGAATCCGGCACAGGAGAAGGAGACGGAAGAGGCAACAAGTTATGGTCTGCCCTGCATGAAAAGCACGCATGGTGTACCCCATGCGTGCATGGGGTACACCATTAGTAAACATGGGGCAAACATTAGGAGCATCGCGTTGTTAGTCAAATGTGGGTTGCATAGCGCGTAGACTTTTATGGTAGAATTAGTCGTTCTTCTAATGCTGTGATGACCGAGGAAATAGTTGTGACTTCGAGATTTTATAAGTTGTATGGTGTGGTGTAGAGGGTCACTCTCTCTCTCTCTCTCTCTGTCTCTCTCTCTCTCTCTCTCTCTCTCTCTCTCTCTCTCTCTCTCTCTCTCTCTCTCTCTCTCTCTCTCTCCCTCTCTCTTTCTCTTTTCTCTCTCTTTTCTCTCTCTTTTCTCTCTCTTTTCCCTCTCTCTCTCTCTCCCAATTTCGTAATATATGCAACTGTTTTCCCAACTATTGTCTTGTATATAATAACAAAACCCTTATCTAAGTAATATTATGATACATTTGTCTTTTCTGTCCCGTTATTTATTCATGTCGCAATACCTTCATCCATTTCTCTTCCCTCATACATTTCGAAAAGCTTTTTTATGTAAAGTTTTTATTTCAATCATATATAATCTGGCATTTAGTGCTGTCTTTCAAATGACATCACGTTTTTCAAATTTGTCTCTCATCTCATGAGTTGAGCTGCCAAGTGTGTTTTATATCTTCGTGTTCCACAGTTTTTCATGATACATTTTTTTTAATTATTCCTGTGTTTCTCACCTCTTACGTGTACCTCTGGTGTTTGTCCGCTCATTTGATTCTCCATTACTGCTGCATTATAGATTCATTCTCACTGCGCCATATCTCATGTAACAAGGCTTCTGTCTTTCTTCTCCATAATTCCAAGCACTTAGGCTGGACGGTATGGCGGCGGTCTCGCTTCATGCAGGTCGGCGTTCAATCCTCGACCATCCAAGTGGATGGGCACCATTTCTTCCCCTCCCTCCCCCCCGGTCCCATCCCAAATCCTTATCTTAATATCCTGATCACTTCCATGGGCTATATAGTCGTAATGTCTTGGCGCTTTGTCCTAATAGTTCCCTTCCCTTCCCCATAACTCTCGCAACAGATTGCTCATTGCCTCTCTATCTTCCCCGCAGAAATTGCTTTATTGTTCTTCCTCCTGTACCTCCCTCACCCTGTTCACATTGGCTTCTTGTCCCTCAATCTTCTTCTCCATCACCGTAGTATCCATGGTTTCTTGTCTCTATATTCTCCATCACCCTTGCAGCGCAGATGCTCCATCATTCTTCACACGGCACAGTGAAACCCGCAAACTTTCCCAACGTCAGGTCGAGTCCCTGGCGATTTTATAATAGAAACAGATCTCACCTCTCAGTCGCCTCCACTCCCTGTTTCTCACAACCTTTTCAAAGCTTTTCACAATCATTTTTGCGGCGGGATGGCTGGTTCCCTCTCTCCGTTTTTAGCTTGAATGGCTTTCAGCATCCGGCTTATTGGGTCCTGCATTCGTGCCGGAGAGTTTTTAATTTCATTATTTTAGTTTATTTAATAGCCACGCCATTTCCCTCCATTAAGTGGTAGTGGACGGCATTTTAATCCGGCGAGGATGGGTTGTGGGGAATGATGGATGCCATTCCCAGCCTGTGAGTGGTGGTGGGAGTCATTTCTCTTCTGTCAGTGCTAGCGGATGCCTTACTCATCCTGTGAGTAGCAGTGTCGCCCATAGTCAAGTTCTGATTGGCAGTGAACCCCATATCAATGTGGTCAGGGGAAGAGAACTCCATACCCATCTTGTGAGGGGCAGTCCGGATGGCCTTACACGTTTACATTTCCTTTGGATGACGTTCCTTTTCCATTCTTCCATCCCTCACCTTGCGCTCCCTCCCGTCCTCCATCCCTGAACCGTCTATTCCTCCCCCCCCCCCTCTCACCACCCATCCATCCTTCACCCGTCTCCCTCCTCCTCGCCTCTAGTACCTCTCAAACATCTCCCTTTCACCACCTTTCATAAAAATCTCTCTGGTCATAATACCGCCTAATTCAAGTAGGACAAACAATCAAACTGATCAATGTTTCCTCAATAATGGAACGTTTGGCGACCAAAATGTAGTGACTTGGAACACTACAACACAACGACTTGCTGTAGTGTTCCAACTACAGCAAGTTGGAACACACTGAAAGTGAAACACCGATACAGACGAAGAGTCACAATAACGGGGTTAAATGTATGATGATCGCACTACACATATGATGATGATACCACACATATGATGATCAAACTACACATATGATGATCAAACCACATATATGATGATCATACCACACATATGATGATCAAACTACACATATGATGATCAAACCACATATATGATGATCAAACCACATATATGATGATCAAACCACATATATGATGATCAAACCACATATATGATGATCAAACCACATATATGATGATCAAACCACATATATGATGATCAAACCACATATATGATAATCAAACCACACATATGGTGATCAAACCACACACATATGATGATCAAACCACACATCAGAAGATGGAAAAGCGAACGACGTCTCGCTCCGTCTTGGACCACATTCAAGTCGTGTGTGAGACTTGGTAGTTTCTCCCAGTAACTGACACACAACTTGATAATGGTTCAGGACGGACCGAAACGTCGTCGTTTCTCCATCTTCTGATGTGATGTTTGGTCATTAAACTCCAATAACTGAAAATGGTATTCAGTAATTTTCAAGTAAATACAATAACTCACAAATGGGAAATAAACAAAGGATAATGTCTTTTTCTGATGGGGGTTCTGTTTGGCTCGCTCAACACCAAGTGTTCTCATGTCCTTCCACTGTAAGCACTCCTCTCTACAGCTCTGTAAGCTCTGTATCCTGCACACCCCCTGCGGGCTATGTACCTCGGTAACTCTATGATCTCATTCCCTCTGCAGCACTACGTATTCGTCTTCCCTGATGTTCCATGAGCTCATTTTCCTTGTAGCTCTATGCACTACTTCCACTGCTACTCTACGTACTCCTAACCAGTTGTTCTCTCGCTTATGCTCCTCCCTGCAGCTCTACGCCCTTCGGCTACTGATGCAGGGAGATCAGAAATCTCCGAAGGCGAAGATGGCGAACAACTACCGTCCCGTGAAGCCCCTGCACCACAGGACCGTCAGAACCAACATCGACTTCACCAACGCCCACCGGAGTAAGGGCTGTCCCACCATGCACCGGGAGATGTTCTACGCAGGTGAGGCATTGATAACTCTCGGTATTCTGAAGATTTTCCACGACATAGCAATTCCCTCCGGTGTGTGTGTGTATGTGTACTCACCTAGTTGTACTCACCTAGTTGTGTCTGCAGGATCGAGCATTGACTCTTGGATCCCGCCTTTCGAGCATCGGTTGTTTACAGCAATGACTCCTGTCCCATTTCCCTATCATACCTGGTTTCAAAATTATGAATAGTATTTGCTTCCACAACCTGTTCCCCAAGTGCTTTCCATTTTCCCACTACTCTCACGCAAAAAGAAAACTTCCTAACATCTCTGTGACTCATCTGAGTTTCAAGCTTCAATCCATGTCCCCTCGTTCTGTTACTATTCCGTGTGAACATTTCGTCTATGTCCACTCTGTCAATCCCTCTGAGTATCTTATACGTTCCTATCATGTCCCCCCTCTCCCTTCTGCTTTCTAGTGTCGTAAGGCACAGTTCCCTCAGGCTCTCCTCATACCCCATCCCTCCTAGCTCTGGGACGAGTCTCGTTGCAAACCTCTGAACCTTTTCCAGTTTCATTATATGCTTCTTCAGATGGGGACTCCATGATGAGGCGGCATACTCTAAGTCTGGCCTTACGTAGGCAGTGTAAAGCGCCCTAAATGCCTCCTTACTTAGGTTTCTGAATGATGTTCTAACTTTTGCCAGTGTAGAGTACGCTGCTGTCATTATCCTATTTATATGTGCCTCAGGAGATAGATTAGGTGTTACGTCCACCCCCAGGTCTCTTTCACGCGTCGTCACAGGTAGGCTGTTCCCCTTCATTGTGTACTGTCCCTTTGGTCTCCTATCTCCTAGTCCCATTTCCATAACTTTACATTTGCTCGTGTTGAATTCCAGTAGCCATTTCTCTGACCATCTCTGCAACCTGTTCAGGTCCTCTTGGAGGATCCTGCAATCCTCATCTGTCACAACTCTTCTCATCAACTTTGCGTCATCCGCATCTTTAGGTAATTTTGTTTTTCCCATTACTCCTACGCTAAATGGAAACTTTCTAAAATCTTAATGTGTGTGTGTGTCCTTACCTAATTGTGCTTGCGGGGATGAAGCTTCGGCTCTTTGATCCCGCCTCTTATCAGTCAATCAACTCGTGTACAGATTCCTGAGCCTATTGGGCTCCATCATATTTACATTTGAAACTGTGTATGGATTCTACCTCCACCGCTTCACTGTCTAATTCATTCCACTTGTTAACTACTCTGACAGTAAAAAAGTTCTTTAAAATGTCCCTGTGGCTCATTTGTGTACTCAGTTTTCACCTGTGTCCCCTGGTGCGTGTGCCACTTATGTTAAACAAACTGTTTTTATCTACCCAATCAATTTTCAGAGAATTTTGTATGTGATTATCATGTCTCACTTAATTCTTCTGTTTTCCAGCGACGTAAGGTTTAGTTTCCGAAATCTCTTCTCGTAGCTCATACCCCTCAGTTCGGGTGCTAGTCTAGTGGCATACCATTGAACCTTTTCTAATTTAGTCTTGTGCTGTACTAGATACGACTCTGCATTGGAGCTGTATACTCAAGTATTGGTCCAACGTATATGGTGTATAAGGATCTAAATAATTCCTTACACAAATTTCTAAAGACTGGTCTAATGTTGACCAACCTAGCAAATGCCGTGGATGATATCCTCTTGATGTGGGCTTTAAGGGACAGGTCCGATGTGATATCAACCCCCAGGTCTTCTCTCTCAATGATTTTTGAAGGATTCCATCTCCCAAATGATACCTTGTTTCTAACCTCACGCTCCCTACACCTATCTTCATTACTTTACATTTATTAGAGTTAAGCTTTAATAGCCTTTTGTTGGACAACATCTTCAGTTTGTCCAGGTCAATTGTTGCCTTATGCTGTCTTCATGCAAATATTGAGAGGTATGAGTCTATTCCATCTAGAAGATCATTTACATATATCAATAAATGAACAGATCCGAGTTCAGTACCCTGTGGGACTCTGGTGGTGAAATTTTGCCATTTCAAGGTCTCTTCTCTTACAGTAACTCTTTGCTTCCTTTTTTCTCCCTTATCTATTGGAGCACCTACCAGCCACTCCCACCGGTTTCTCCAACTTAAACACCTGCCTAGCATGGGGATAGTGTGTAAAAGGCTTTCCAACAATTGATATAAATGCAGTCTGCCCACCCTTATCTTTCTTGCCTAATCTTTGCCAATTGGTTGTGGAATTCTCGTTGACCATTGAGGCAAGATTTGCCATTACTGAATTCATGCTCGGGGTGAGTCGCAAAGTCCCTTCTCTACAGATATGTAACTAGATTTGTTCTCACGATCTTGCATGGTATATATATGTTAGGGACACTGGCCTGTTGTTCAGTACCCCCTTATATGTCGTCTTTTTTGTAAATTGGGTGTACTTTAGCTCTCTTCCACATGTCTGGTAGGTGTCTTGTTTTCACTGACTTACTATACACCATGGAGAGTGGTAAGCAAGGTGCTTCTACACATTCTTTTAGTATCGAAGGAGAGGTGCCGTCTGGTCCAACAGCCTTTTATCGCAGCCAGAGCCTACAGATGCCTTCTAACCTCTTCTCTGGTAATTTCGAACGCTTGCAAAACTGCCTCGTTTATTGCCACCTCTCTTATTTCAGGGACCTCTCCTCGTCTTTCTGTGAAGACCTGGAATCTCTTGTCGAGTTTTTCACGCACCTCTTTATCTTTCTCTGTGTGCCTGTCCTTACCCGTTTTCAGATTCATCACTTGTTCTTTCACTGTTTATTTCCTCATGATGTGACTATGGAGCAATTTTGGGTCGGTCTTGGCTTTATATGTTATGTCATTTTCATATTGTCTCTCTGCTCCTCTCCTCACACTGAGGTATTAATTCCTGGCCCCTCTGGTATCTCCCCTCTCCTCTTTGGCGTTCTGTTCTTTCTGTATTTCCTTCACACCTTTGTATTTAATTAATTGCCTTGCTTCCTCGCATGTCCAATTAATCCATGGATTCTTCTTTTGTGCTGTTTTTTTTCCTTTTGGACCGGGACAAAATTTCTTACTATTTCTTGAAACTTTTGTGTGACATAATCCATCATGTCTTGTTCAGACTTATCTCTGAGTTCTGTTTCCCATGGTATTTCTGTAAGGAATTTTCTCATCTCCCCATAGTTTCCATTTCGATATGCCACCCCTTTCTTTTGTGGTATTGGGGGGTGGAGGGAGAAGTACCCCTGACTCATCCAAATACTCAAATGTCAGTACAGTGTGGTCCCTCATTCACATGGGGGCTTCCTACTTAACTTCCCTCATGTCCAGCTCATTCAGGATGAATATCAGATCGAGTCTAGCTTGGCCATCTTCTCTCATTCTTGTGGATACCTTGACGTTTTGGCTCAGGAAGTTTCTTGTTGCCACGTACAGTAGTTTACCTCTCCAGGTTTCTGGTCCTCCATGTGGGTCTCTATTCTTCCAGTCTATCTTCCCGTGGTTTGACCATTCTGGATCAATTTCAGGAACTGACGGCTGAGTGGACAGCGCTCGGAGTTTGTAGTCCTAAGCGTCAGGGTTCTATCCCCGGCGAAGGTGGGAAAAAATGCCAGTTTCTTTCACCTTGATGATAAAACTATCATTTCTTTCTGGGTGCTTTCACCCTGTTTTACTGCTGTTCACCTAACAGTAAATATGTACCTGGGCGTTAAACAGCTACTATGGGCTGCTTCATGGGGATGTGTGTGTGTGTGAAAATTAGGATTAAGGACTTGCCCAGAACGTTATGAGTGCTAGTGGTTGTACAAGAATGTAAAAACTCTTGTATATATATATTTAAAAAAAAATCAAGCAACAGTAGCTGCTCTCTCTATAATATTAATGGTAGCCACGTTGTTTCTATCATATTCCTTTTTAGGTCTTCTGTAATTTGGTGAGGTCTATATATTACTACTACTGTTGTTTTTTTGTTCTCCATTTGCCATGGTTCCTGTTATGTAGTTTCTGAACTCATCATAGCCTGGTATTGCCATCCTGTTAAAACTGCAGTCTTTTCTTATCAGGAGAGCCACTCCTCCAACTCCTCCTTCCCAGTCTTTCCTTACCAAATAGAGTTCCTATGGAATCACTGCAATTGTAATGACTTTTCTTAATTTTGTTTCTGTGACTGCTATTATGTCTGGGTTTTCTTCTTGTGCCTTTTCTCGACGTTCACCTGTTATATTTATGAACATGATTCTGAGTGTGATTTATTTGTGTGTGTGCTCACCTATTTATTCCAGTAGGATCGAGCTTTAGTTCCTGAAACATGTCTTTCCGTTAATAGTTTGTGTGACGTAATGACTCCGAGCAATTTTTCTTTCTTATCTCCATTTTATATTATAAATGGATTCATCGTCTATAACTTGTGCATATACATCTTTTCTTTTCAGTCTTTTTTCCTACTACCCTTATGTTAAAAATATATTTTACAATCAATGTAGTTTATCTTCCTGTAGCTTTCATCAATTCTCTCTTGATTAATTAACTGGTAATCATTTTTAACATTTCTATTATAACTTGCTCAATCCTACTAAGTACCTTATATGTCTCTGTCATCTCTTCTTTCTCCATACTCTATTCTAGCGACGTTAGGTCTAGCTTTTTCAGGCTTTGCTCCTACCCCATCACTCTTAGTTTTTGGATGAGCCGAATTGAAAACCTGTTTTTGAGGTTGTGGCTGCACGATGAGGCAGCATATTCTAGGACTTGTCTTACGTGCGTGTGCACACTAATATAAATGTTTCACTAAAAAAGAAGCTTGTGTTTCTCGAAAGCTGTTCTGGATATTTTTTTCCCTCAATGTGTACCGTCCTGGTCACTTGTTCCCCCTTTTCATCACTTTACACTTACTGATGTTAAAATTCGGTAGCCATTTCTCGAACAAACTCAGCAGCTTCACTAAAGACTGTTTTGAGTATCTTACAATTTTCATCTTCCTCAACTCTTCTCATGACTTTTGCATCGTCTGTGTACATCAACATTCAGTACTTAACTC